ACGGGGGGAGCATATTCACACCTGTAAGTTTAGGGATTCCTGTATTCGGAACTTGTGTTTTACTGCAGCAGGAATCCTTAATGTGGGGTTTACAAGCGGCAACTGTCACCCATTCAAGTTAATGATCAGGTGACAGCTGCTGCATGTGAACGCCTGCACGCCACATGTAATATTATGTGATATAATTACATGAGGTTAGGAATCATTCTTCCTGGATGCAATATTGATCGTGCATCCTAGGGATAATGATTGATTCCTAACCACATGTAATCATATCACATACCATTGCATATTGTGTGCAGGCGTTTACATGCAACGGTTGTCACCTGATCGTTAACTTGAATGGGTGACAGCTGCCGCTTGTAAACGCCAGATTAAGGATTCCTGCTGCAGGAAAACGCAAGTTCCTGACGCAGGAATCCCTAATCACACCTAAACTTACAGGTGTGAATGGGGCCTTATTGTGTCTATATTAGGGTTTGTAATTTTGGTTGTGCATATTTCCGTTTGTGTGTATTTCTATGTGTGCGTATCTCTGTGTGTGTCTGTGAAGTATGAAAATTGGCAAGCGACCCCCATGGGAGCAAAACATTTGTCCAGTGGCCCCCGAGTGAATTTAGTTTGAGACCCCTGATCTAGAAAATGATGGTTACTGTATCCTTGTGGCTTGTAAATGAACGTTGATTAAAAAATACGGAAGCCAAAATGTGACCAGTGCATTATTTCATTGATGTATTCTCTTTTGTCTTAAGGCATTTGCTAAAGAAGGAGCACAGGTGATTGCAACTGATATCAATGGAGACAAGTTGAAGGCGTTGGAGTCATACAAAGGTTACTTTCTGTCTATGGTTACAAATTGCTGTCACTATAATGCTGAAAGTTGTTTTAGGGCCATGTGTGTAGTTGTCCTCTGCATACTCCTTTTTTTTTTTGTGGTAAATGCAGGGACAGATGAAATGGATCTTAGGCCTCATTTCACACTGGGCAATCTGGCCTTCCTGCTGCAAGAACCTACGGATTCCTGTGGCATGGAGGCCAGGGGTTACAGTTCAGATGCAGCCACTGTACCTGTTCAAGTTAATGGCAGGGCTGCATGTGTGATCGGCAGTCCACTTGTAATTGTATATGATACAGTACGAATTAAAGTGGCTTGGAATAGATCACTGTCCCTGGACACAGGATAGATGCATCCAGCAACAGTGATCTATTGCAGTCCGCATGTAATGGTATCATAGACGATTACATGTGGACTGCCGCTTACAGATGCAGCCACTGCCATCCTGTCATTATCTTAAACGGGTACATCGGCTGCATCTGAACAGTGACGCCTGGCAGTCTTGCTGCAGAAATCCCAAATCGCCCCATGGGAATGGTGCCTAAGTATGTCTTCAAACAAGAACTCTGGGGAGAATTTTTTATTAACCCTTGCAGTGGGGCTACCTCTGGACTGCATGGGTCCGGTGCTCTTTTGTGTGTAGACAGGAAAATAAAAAAGTTAGAGAAGACAAGAAATACAGAAGCGCACTACCAAGTGGTGACTGAGCAAGAAAAAATAATAAGGGAATAATGGAATGAGACTTACCAGGGTGTGGGTACTAGCGCGTTGTCAGCGACGAAGTGTGGATGAATTGGGAGTCCAGGGTTGCTGGTGGTGGTGGGCAGGGTAATGTGGCAATAGTTGGTGCTGGGAAGAATACGATGTCAAAGGGGATCTGGGTCAGACGTTTAGTGTGGCAGGGATCTGAGGGGGGGGAGGCTCGGGTTTGGGAGAAGGACTGGCTGTCTGAAACGTGCTGGCTGCTAACGGATGTGTGCCTGAGAACTGTGTGTGTGTGTGTGTGGGGGGGCCGCGGTGAACAGTTGATGCTGTCAGGCAGGGAATGTCCGGGGGAAGCCAATGGTGAGGAAGATAGCCTGGAGGTGGATGTTGAGGTCGGGGTGAGACTACACCGCTCGAGGGCACGAGCAGCGAGCCCGAAGCAGCGAGCGGTGTGTCTGTGAGGTACAGCGGGTGAGAACGAGTGGCGGAGGTGGTGGGTGAAAGTGTTCAAACTGGCTACGCGTTTCGAAGAGCGGGTCTTCTTTTTCAAGCCACAGAGTGAGGGGACAAATGGCGGGAGAAAGGCCGGTTTTTGAACGTGAGGAGGTGGGAGGAGTTGTTGAGAGGGGCGGGGAAATGGGGCGGAGATGGGGTGACGTGGAGGACGGCAAGTGTGAAGAGGTATACCTGCCGTCTTGATGCAGAACGAATGCTTTCAGGGTGAGGGTGGGGACAAATTACACACTAGCAGAATGTAACCATCACAATAAAGTGTGATGGTTCAATGGACCGTGTGAATTGGGAACCGAGTGTGTAAAACATAATAATGTGTGTCAGCACAGTGGAGATGGAGGGAACCATGAGAAGGTTGCAAGATAATCTGATTGAGTGGGTGGGGGAATTTTGCGTGGGAAATTATGGTAGTGGGGGCAACCAAAATTCCCCCACCCACTCAATCAGAATTGTTTACCCTCACCTCAGGGGCAGCGCTGCATTAGAGGACATTTCTCCCAAATAAAAAAGTTATACTCACCTGATCCTCTGAGCTAGCTTGCTCTTAGACTTGTCCCTATAGCCTTGCTCCCCCTCCTCTGCCGCAGTCTGGGTCACGTAAATCATCACATTCTATAAACTGTGTATAAACGTGAGAACACCGATGGGCGTTCCATTGCAGTAGTGAAGGAGAACAGAGGCTGGAGGGAGCGCTGTCATGGTCGGCTTGGAAGATCAGGTGAGTATAACTTTGTTATTTTCCTCCCTAGAACAAAACCAGCAGTTTGCCCTTGCAGTGCTGTAAGCGTTAATACTTTTCCCTGGAGTTCTGCTTTAACCCAATGTTTAGTTTAGTTTTGGATAGCATAAGGAAAGCCTTATGACACTGCTCTGAAGCACAGCATCACTGTGTGAGGACCTTTGGTACCAGCAAGGCTTCCAGTTCACATCTTATATCTAGACTCAGATCTGTTGAGTCCATGACGAGAAGAAAATGTGACATGTGAAATGGCTTTGATTGGTTTAATATCCCCTTTAGGTATACAGACACGAGTGCTGGATGTGACTAAAAAGGACCAAATTGAAAAACTGGCTCAGGAAATAGAAAGAATTGATGTTCTTTTTAATGTAGCGGGGTGAGTAACAATGGGCCCTCACTTGTGTTATATAAACAGTGCTACAGCAGGTGTCAGTGTTGTCACTACCTTCTTTCCACGCCATCCTGCTAGAAATGTACTACAATGGTAGTATGGCCACTGACTGACATTTTGTAAGTGAATGGAGTTTCCTGAATAAAAATGTCATTCACTATTAGAATTGAATTCCGTCCAGAAAAATTATCCATCCTGCTCCTTTGATTTTTTTTTTTTCATCACTAGGATCAAAGACAATCATTGATTCGACTGTTTGGAGTTTGAATGAGTGTTCCAACCATGATTTCTTTTCTAATGAGATTTTGCTGTGTATGGACAGCTTTATTAAGTGAAAACAGCAAGATTGTTTCCTTTGCCTTACTGCTAAAGTAGCTTTTACACATATTTGACGATTTTTAGATTTTGTAGAGCTGTCTGATGTTTTTTTTTTTTTAGGAGGATGGCAGTGGGTGTGAAAAAGCATAGAATTCAGCTTTAAAGGGTAATTCCACGTTAAAAATATAAGAATCAAAAAATCTTTCAAAAATAATATAGCATATATAATTGTCCTACAAGCCATTTTGTAATGTTATTAAAAATGACCTTTAACCGCTTTGTGACGGGAGACATACACTGTACGTCCCGCCACAAAGTGCCTATATGACTGGCCATGTACACTGTACGTGACAAGTTATTTATTGTTCTGTAATGCTGGTCACCGCTGATTCTCAGCAGTTACCATTCATTAATGAATGCCTCAGTATTGAAGCATTCATTAATGAAATAGTTAAGCTTTTGTAAAAGCTTCTTTCTTTCATTAATGAAAGAATGAAGCCGTTACATGCAAATACCGGAGCGCTAAATAGCGATCCTGTATTTGACAGCTGAAAATAGCAGAGAGGTAGCATGGTGAGTCACCTGTCTGCTATTCATTTTGACAGCTCCATAGACTGGCCCAATGTCTATATGAAGCTGTGTGATACATTTCAGGCACAATGTTATAATGTATCTCTGTGCCTAAAATGTATCACTTCTGATCGTCTGGCCACGATCAGAAACCTTTGAAGCTTGGTTCACACCTGAGCGTATTTTTTCTGCTCCTTTTTGTCGCGTTTTCTTTAGCACGTTTTTCCATTCAGTAAAACGTGCAGGGTTTTTTTTTTTCACTTTCAAACTTCCTGTCGGCTTTGCCCCCCTGCGACGCAGCCACTCGCAAGGGACGGAATCTGGAAGTCGTCAGCCGCCGGAGGACACAGCGGGGATCGCGGACAAGGTAAGACCTATACGCTGTATTCCCGAGTGTGGCTCAGGGTTACCGCTTTGTTAACCCCGATCCACACTCGGGAATTCCACTGGGAACGCGTGGAAAAACGCCCCAAAGAAGCTCCTGTTCTTTGGGCGTAGGGCGTTTTTCAGCGCGTGCCTACGCGCTGTAAAACGCCCAGGTGGAAACCATGCCCATAGGCAATTATTTGTTTTCACATGTTAAGCGTTTTACAGCGTGTAGGAACGCGCTGTAAAACGCCCAGGTGTGAACCAGGCCTTAGTGAGATCTGATTCTGTCATTTACGAACAGAAACTGAAAACAAGCTCCGCCATGGAAGGGGTTAAAAAAAACCCTGTAAGTGCTGTAATGTTCTACATCTGTCAAAACAAATTTCAGGGTAATTTAGCAACCTGTACGGGACACCGCCAGAATTGTCACTTTCTTCGTCTGTGATTGGCTGACTGATTTTTTCCAAGAAGTCTGCACTAAGATATAAGTATACTATTTGGCATCCCTTGCGATAGGAAGTTTACATTTTTGGTCAGACACTTCCTAAGGGTTAATTCCTACTAAAGGGATGCAGACACTGCACCTTATTGATTACTACAGATTACTGCACCAGTTGATTATAATGAGCCCAGACCTTCCATTAAGGAATCTGGAAAAGACATGCTGGAATAAACAGCTTTTTTTTCCAGAACAGAAACGGGTAGGAAACTGCAACACAGTTTGTTAAAATCCTGGTAATGTACACAGATCACCCAGAGAGGATTCATGTTTTATCAACAAAAGTGGAATTACTCTTTAAAGGAGATCTATGAGGTGAGTGATTTTTACTCATCCTTATAGTTAGAGCCGACATGTGACAAAGAAGCTGTCACGTGTCGGCTCTATTGATCGAGAAGTGAGCAGAAACATGCCACCGATCCACTCACTTCCCGATCAAGGAACTGTGCCTGTCAGTCAGCGCTCCCCGCAAGGATTCCCCCACCTCCCCTCTCCTCCAGCGCTCAGTGGAGGAACGGACGGAGAAGGGGACGGGCACAGCTGGCTCTCCCTTTAGATAGGCACGGCCAGCTGTCGATCACGCAACTCGGTGGATCTCGACAGTTTTGTCGGGATCCATCCCGGCTGCGGCGCTCTCAGTATATTACGGCAATAGACTGCTATATACTGAGATTTGGGTCACGAGAGGAGGTTAGTATGTGTCCTCTTGTGACCCTAAAAAGAACTATGGGGAAAAACACTTACCCCACAGTTCTCTTTTAAGTAGATCCCTATATTCAGATTGTATTGTGTGAGGCCAGCTTATCTCAGAACACTTATGAAGTAAAATATTTATTGCATACATTCTTTACCTAATTTTATCTTTGTGATCTTTTGGGCAGCTTTGTCCACCATGGATCCATTCTAGACTGTGAAGAAGCAGATTGGGACTTTACGATGAATGTTAATGTGCGGAGCATGTATCTGATGATCAAAACTTTCCTGCCAAAAGTTAGTGGTCATTGTATTTATTCATCTGTTTTATCAGTGTAAACATAGTATTTCCTACAGCAGCAAAAGAGATGCACAAGCCTTGAAGAAGGAGGAGGGATGTAAAGGGATGGGGGATGGATTTCTAATAAAGGGCACTTACCCTTGATGGCAGAAACTATTATCGCTAGCATAAAAAAGTACATTAGTGGCATTAACTATAGAAAAATGGATCACATAGATTTTGCTTCAAGTGAATGAATCTTCACAAATCCACTGCTTTTTCAATATACATGAAAGTGATCAGCTTAGTGACATTATCATATAAATATGCCTTAATGTAAAAAAAATAATCTTCATTTCTGTGTATAGTTAGACTTGTCATATACACTGCCTGTCCAAACAAACAAAAAAAAGTCACCACCTGGATTTCGGTTGTTATGATCTGGGGTTGCTTCAGTTGGTCAGGTCTAAGTTCAGCAACATTATGTCCCCAAAAATGAGGTCAGCTGCCTACCTGAATATACTGAATGACCAGGTTTTTCCATCTATGGATTTTTTCTTTCCTGATGGCACGGGCATATTCCAAGATGACAATGCCAGGATTCATCGGGCTCAAATTGTGAAAGAGTGGTTCAGGGAGCATGAGACATCATTATCACACATGGACTGGCCACCACAGAGTCCAAACCTTAACCCCACTGAGAATCTTTGGGATGTGCTAGGGAAGACTTTACGCAGTGGTCCGACTCTCCCATCATCACTACAAGATCTTGGTGAAAAAGGAATGCAGCTCTGGAGGGAAATAAATGTTGTGACATTGCATGAGGTTATTGAAATGATGCCATGGTGAATGCATGCCATAATCAAAGCTAAAGGCAGTCCAACAATATATTAGAGTGCGTGACAGTTTTTTGGACAGGCAGTGTATGTACATGAAGACAGCTGTATTTGCATATGTGGATTCTGCTTCCTAGTTAGTACTGCTGCACAGGTTGTGCCTTCCTGATTACCTTATGTCAGTGCATGTGGGGGGGCTGTCACTTAGGCTGTATGGGGCCCCATGTTTTTGTATTGGTGGCCTTTTCTATAGATGCCCGAACTCTAGATTCTAATAAAGTAAATGAGATCTGTATCCTCTATTCATTGAGCACTTGGCCCTAGTGGCAGGAGCAAAACGGGCATAGTGAGCATAAGGGTGTATCTGATATAGTAAGGTCCTACATAAGACCCTATAGATACAACAATAGTGACAATGACTTTATCTTCTGTTTTTCAGATGCTTGCACAAAGGTCCGGGAACATTATCAATATGTCTTCTGTTGCTTCCAGCATTAAAGGTATGACTAGCAGTTAGATCTTCTCAGTTCCCTTGTTTGGGTGAGCATTTCAACTAGTAAACGTTTAATATATACTTAGCACGCATTGTTAGGCTATAAGAATAAACAATGTTTGAGGCATGAAAATTATACTGTCCAGCAGTGCTAGTTTATCATTTAAAGTGCTAGTGTGATCATACTAAGTGACCGGAATCCTAAACTACTGAAAGCCCCAACATTTCAGAGATTCAAGCAGAAATAGGCATCTAAATATGAGTTGAACATGATGATGCAGGTTTAATTCTGTTGTCGTGATTCTATTTTTCTGCCACACAGCTTAGCCAGGAGAGCGACAGCACAATTTTATTGCAGCTTTACAGCTTCTCGTAACACCTTCCTGCTTATTGGGCTAAACATTGGTATCGTTACACTGCTGAGGAAAGATCCTGAGCTTTCCTCCTGGTGTAACTCCTCTAAAAACCTCCTGATGTATTTTTCAGTGCCTGAAAGCATGTTAAGCTGCCCATACACCTTACAACCATCGCACGACTTTCGCTGTGCGATGGTTGTAAGGTGATAAAAGTTTTGTATGACCTGCCCATCTTGGACAGGCAGATCGTACTTGCGATCTTCGCAAGCCCTCCCCGCTGAACCTGTAAGCTGCTAAAATATATTAACAATATGGTTTTAGCTTTAAACACTCTTTAGCCTCTAGAAGTGGAGTTACTAAATGTTCCTTGGTTCAGAAAGGTTGGGTACACAGTATAAAGTAAACCCATAGGAGACATGATCATAATATCTTCAAGGGGTAAGGACAGATTGTAACAGAGAATGTGACATTCACTACAGGTGAATCTTCCTGGTGCATGTGTTTTAAATTACAGGGACTGAGTAATCACCTGTGAATATTTAGCATATATCACATTCACTGCTTTTTAAATATGTCCCTATAATTGGACTCAGACAGATCTACTTAATTTGGTACGTATGAACATGTCATCTGTAATGAAAAACAAAAAGAGTGCCTCCATCGTGTAAAAAATGCTTTTAATAAGACGATATAGGAAAAGCTAAATGCATACTTACAAACAGATGGAATAAACAGGCATAAAAAGTGAATCAGCAAACGAAAGCACTGAAATCGTAAATTTTCCAGCTCAGCCGACAAGCTGAATGTCCTCCCTGGCTTACCCGTTTCAGAGGACATGCCTCCTTCCTCAGAACCAATCTTTTTGTTTTTCATTTCAGTTTTGTGGTTGCCCTAGACCAGCGGGAGCTGCCTCGAGAGTCTATCAATTTAATTTCCTACACAGCTGCTGGTGCTGGCGCCTGTGGTATTAACTCTTTGCAATGTGTCATCTGTGCATGACACCCCATTAGATGTTGTCTCCTTTTCCTAGTGTAGGTAAGAAAGATGAAAAAGAATACTACAGGGGTAGGTAACGTTGACATTCCAACTGTTGTGGAACTGTCCCATGAGGCACTACAAGACTCTGGAGGCCACCGATATGACTACCAGAGGTATAATAGGATTTGTACTTTCACCACAGCTGGAGTGCCAAGGTTGCCTACTCCTGGTATGTAGTATATCCTATTGGGCTTTACCTGGCACATACTTTGACATACGAGGCTCTGCCATGGAGGGATGATGCAGAAGTCATAAGTAAACCTATGTACATCTATCGTCTTACCCACTAAATTCACTAGAAACCAATATCTTTTGAATTTAGGGTAGGCGATCTCTGTGATGTCACCAGTTTTGGCTGTAAAGTGGCTCAGAGAAACTGTCATAATTAACCCCTGGAAGTACCTGTAGCAGATGTAAAACCCTTGCAGCAGAGTCAATCTTTAATGTACCAATTATGTTCTCTGATTGCACTTTAATACTCAGTCATCTTACAGTAGATGAAAACCTTCACTGGATGACACTTCACTAAAGCACTGTGCATCTTAAAAATTGCCATACTTTTTCCCCCCAAAATACTGGAGGGTTTTTTCCCCTTTTTTAATATCCTTTTTAGCATTTCGGTGCTGCAGAACGCCTCTAGCCACTTCCTGTCTACATGCACTCGCTCCAGCTGTACATCATTACTTTGGACTGGCTTCCTGGTAGTGACAAGGGTAGACCATGCCTGCTTGCATGACCATTTGTAGTCTGCACTAAGGGTACATATGACAATGGAGGAGCACAATTGGGAAACAGCTGTCATCCCATACATGTTACATGGCATGACCTGAACAAGGACCTACATGGCAGTTGAAAACAACTTTTGAAACCACATTAACAATGTAAAGCTTAGAAGAGATTTTAGTTAGTGTGTGTAGAGCTACTTTAAATCAATTCATGTAAACATTTGTGTTTACCATTGCATTGTAACCTATGGCTGTATTTCCTATGGTGTTCTGTCATACAGGTACTATATTGATCAATAGGTTTTACTGGTTTAGTGCTGTAACCTGAAATGTTTTGGAACTTTTTGTTTTCTAGTAGATCAATTTGTTGTCTGAATATTTTTCTATATACTGTTTTTTTCTTCTTTGTAGGAGTGGTAAATAGATGTGTATATAGCACATCAAAGGCTGCCATAATTGGTCTAACTAAGTCAGTTGCTGCAGATTTCATTGAGCAAGGCATTAGGTGTAACTGCATATGCCCAGGTATGTACAACTGCCGTATAATACTGGAATTAAATGGTGTCTGCTAAGAGCTAAGGGCCACAGTGGCCTTGCATCCTCTACATTCCACACATTGTGGGCTGGAGACAGGGAAGCCTAGCGTTTCCATTTTATCTTTCTTTTTGGCAGAGCTGGTAATTGAGTGTATTGTTGGGAAAAAATAAGGACATGATACTGGGTAATGCCTGCCATAAATGCAGTGCTCTTTATAGCACCAAGTAGGGAAGGGCCATAATCACACAGTCAAAGAAGGCTCACAAGACAGAGAATGCTAAGTCAACCTGCTAATCAGATGGAGAACCTACAATCCAAATTAATGCTGGATACTGGAGTATTCATATGACAGAGATCAGTCCGTAACAAGAATACAAAATAGCTCCCATATTATTACATCATAGGAGATTTCATATCGGCTCACAGGCAGCGAATGGGAAGAACCACCTACGCAGAGGAAATTTAGACCCAGCTGGGGTTGTTCATTAGTATAGATTTGTATTATATAATATCATGATCTGCATCCCCATGTTAATTTTCTCAAAAGCCATCATTTATTGGGTCCTTTCTTGGACCCAAATAGTATTCCCCATCTGTTCATGAAGTGTTCTTAAAATCACACGTCTAGGAATGTTCCTGCAGCTTTTCCGATCTACATCCTGTGAACCAGAACTGCAGGAGCTGTGAGAACCTGATTTTTGTCCAGTTAGAAATGTAACTATCCCGCCCAATTTTTTTCAGCTCTTTATTCAAGCAAAATATAATTTGGATAAAATAGGCAACTGTTTTGCTGCTGTGGTACAAATACAGTTAGGTCCAGAAATTATTGGACTCTAACAGAATTTTCATCATTCTGGCTCTGTACGCCACCACATTGGATTTGAAATGAAACAACCTAGATGCAATTGAAGTGCAAACTTCCATCTTTAATTCAAGGGGGTGAACAAAAATATCATTCGAAATGTTTAGGAATTAGTCCCCTTATTTTAGGGGCTCAAATGTAATTGGACAAAGTAGCACACTCATAAATTAATGTTCATTTTTAATAATTTGTCAAGAAGCCTTTGCTGGCAATGTCTGCTGGAAGTCTGGAATGCATTGTCATCACCAAACGCTGGGTTTCCTGCTTTGTGATGCTTTATCTTAGCTCACCCCCTCAGATTTCCTTCTCTGCTGATCCAGTCACAGATCCTATCCACAGCATCTTCACACCATGCGGCCATTGTCGGATAGTAAGGTCTATCATTCTCACACACCCCCCTAGAATTTATTCAGTTTTGCTTTCAATTGTTACTCCACCAATTCACACAGTTTTTCGGCCCTTCTCACATTTTCTTCTCTCTCTCCTTTTCCTCTATACCTCTTACATGAGACCTCTTTTCTCTCTCCTGTATGTGGATGTAGTGACAGAGCAGTGCTGAGTACAGACATGTTGAGCAGTCGTATCCAGCCATTTGAGGACTGGGAAAACACTAAAAGCCAGCTACAATAAAGCCATTCTGCTCTCCTCCCCAAGGTGTAGTCTCAGTCGATGGGAATGTGTTTACTTTAGTGTTGAATTTGGGGAATGTCCCCATCTTTCCAGTCAGGCTCCCTCCTGCACAGGGTGGCATCCCTCCAAGGCAGACTAAACAGTCCTGACGGTTAAATGGTTGTGGAAGCATTCACCAAGCCCTGGTTTCACTAAGGTTGAGAACCACTGCCATAGAGATCTAATACTAGATGCTCAATAAGATGCAAGGTGATCCTACAGCTACTAGACTTCTCATCTTCTGCAATGAAACTACAGCAGATACCTGAACTTCGTGTACTCATTCTAGTAAAAGACCTTGAAACTAACAAGTGATGACTGAACGGTAGAAAGAAGTATTGTGTCCTCATCCATCAGTCTATACTATCTATCTTTTTAGGAACTGTGGACACCCCATCTTTAAGAGAACGAATCCAAGCTAGGCCAGACCCTGAGCAGGTTAGAAGGCAGTATCCAATTCACATTACTGATTAATATATTACTACATTGGTGCTTATATGTTGTTATTTTGCCTGTGGTTGGAGTAGGCATTGAAGGACTTTCTGGCAAGGCAGAAGACTGGTCGAATGTGCACGGCTGAAGAAGTTGCACACCTCTGTGTGTATTTAGCTTCTGATGAAGTAAGTCTTCTATTCATTTTGCAAGACTATATTCAAGTCTTAAAATAAACAACAAGGTGTCTTTTGGGTTCACTGACTCCTAAAAAAAAAAACCTTCCTCCTTGAAGTCCCAGACAGAGAAGTAAAAACTACTCGTGACTTGTTTATGGAAACATTGCAAAGGAATTCTTGATTGTATGCAATTTTTTCCTTTGTGACTGGTTGTTTCTCGTTTTTGTTGTCTAGGTTGCTGCAAACTTTAAACAACCCAAAAAAAAAATCTGAAAGGCACCATACTGTATAATATAGGGGGCACTTCCATCATGTCCCTTGGCTAGCTTGGAATGCTGGCTGGTAGTCTAGTGACGACAAGTGTTAAATAAAATGTCCAAAGTAGAACAGCAATCCATTGCAGAAACTATAACTTATAGCGTCTTACCTTGCGTTACAACTGCCATATTATTAACTTAACGCACTTCCAAATTTGCATGAGATTGATCTTTGTGTCGTGCTACTTTTCATTTGAGCTGCTACATAAGAGATTTTCAGTAGTGTGACTGAGCGATTGATCTCCTATGGTATCACTGCTATTTGACATTATAAAGTGTGTCAGATTTCATACACTTAACGACAGTGAGAGACAGGCTATTTGACCAGTGGTGGAGCGAGGGAGGGGGCCACTTCAGGCACCACTCTGAAGGGGCGCTACTGGCCTCTTCAGATGCATCGCAGCAAGCACAGCTTCAGCAGAGCTCTATCAACTGTACTCGGGGCCGAAACTGGGGGGGCAGAGGGAGCATTTGACCGGGGGCAGATGCCGCATTAGGAGGGGCACCGTGAGGCGCCCGATAGGATGAGCAGTCAGTGGCGGATTCTGTTGGGGGGGTGTGTAAGAGTGACTGTAAACAAAAGCTTCCCCTACAAGAAAATATTACTGTTACCCTACTGACAGTAACTTACCACTTCCTCTACCGCCGCTTTGCTGGCACTGCCAGGGATGCATGGGGAGGAGGGGGGGCTTAGGGGTGGAAAAATGCACCTTCGGATGCCTAAGCGAGCGGAAGCAGTGTCACTCAGAGTAGCCGGGAAGTGAGAGGACACAGACTTCAGGGACCATGGAGTAGGAGCTGAGCTGTCAACAGGTAATCACAGAGAAAAACATCTATAGAGCCCTCCTGCTTAGTTCAGGTTATGTCTACAGTAACTTAGTATAAGTAGCGTCCTCAGGGCAATTGCGACTAACTGCTGCAAAACAGGGTAGCTGATAAGTG